AAGAAGACAAATTTGGAGAGTGTGACCAGCTTCATCAAAAATCACAGAGATGCACATTTTGTTGTTAATTACTAAGGCAAGGAAACTGAGTTTTGCTCTGGGAACACACACTTTCAAGTCGCTCGGGTTGGCCCTTGTCCTAGAATGAGAAGCGTAGTGGGAAGGAAGGGTAGAGGCTCTCCTCCTCCCACACTCTGGAGGTGACAACCGCTGGGTTCTGCTCATCAGGGAGACACAGTGCACAGCACAGCCAGCCTCTCAGGACAACATAGTCAGCCCCGCCCTTGACACCTCCAGGAATGAACAAGACTCCGAGAAACACGGCAAATCCTCCTCATCCCCTCCCGCAGTCCTCCTGCCCGAAGGATGCTGACTTGTTCTCTGACCTAAAAAGCTCTAATTACTCCCTGCAATAATATTAAACAGAAGAGAGCGCCGTCCGTCCCAAATATTAGGAAAGCCCAGGATGGTGTTGTATGGTGTTTCCTCTTCTGGGGGCAGTGAGAGGGAACGGAACGATGTAACCAGTCAGGGTTTTGCTTAGCTTGGGGCTTTCCTTCGTGGTGACAGGCTTTGTTCCCAGTGCTGCGCAAGCTCTAATTACACCTTCTCCAAGGCTGAGCGTAGTCTCAGGAACCATGCAAATGCCAGTGCCTTTTCTCTCCTCATTATCAGCTGTCTCTTTCCAAACACATCACCTTCCGGGAGGGGGCTCTTTCTTTCCAGTTAGAAACACCAGTTCTTCATCTTTGCCTAACTCTTACAGTTTCTTCCAAATCTCACTCCTGTTTAGAAGTCTGAGTAAAATGCTGTTTTTGCTCGTTTGCTGCAGAGATCAGCAAGGAAAGCACAATACCGCCCAGATTACCCTCTGCCGGGAGGTGTCTGAGGCCGCCCCTTCCTGTATGACCAGGCCTCCGAGCTGGGTAGACACAACGGTCTTCAGCATGCAGCCTACACAGGCCAGGACCTCAAAACTCATATAGCAGCACACCACTTAGCTGAGCCCTTCCCCATTTGGACTTTTTATAGGAGCATAATTTGTGCTTCTTAATTAGGAGGTTATTCTAATAATATTTTAAATATGAGGTAATCCAATAACTAGGGTTTAGTATAATCCCAAGTACTAGACTACCTAGGGAAAAAGTATTGAAAGGTGCTTTAAAATATTCAGGTCAAATATGAGTCTCTGTACAAGTTCTTTTCAATTATACAGCTCTTGCAGTAAGTTTTAGGAGTGACTTTGTTCCAAAAGGTTGCTCATCTTTGAGAAGAACCACATCTATTGGAATGGTACAGACAGAAGTTGCCTGATGTTTTATAAAAATTGAAAACAAAAAAGGAAGATAAATTGTAAAAGTTTTGGTTTTATTGCCATAAAATCAAAGCTTTGTGAAATAAAAGTAGGCAGTAATGATGACTAATTTTATAGAGCTCGTTTCATAAAATTTTTAAAAACTATTACTTGTACCATAATTTGATGTTTGTGAAGAAAAGTGTTCTGTTCTGAGTATTTTTTTAGATAACAAATAATTGGTTACATATTTTCCAAACAGTATTTAAACTATTTTTGGAAATTAAGGACTTACATATTTAACAGTCTCAGACATAGTCCATATGTTTCTAAATATAGTAAAAATTGCAAAATTTGCAAATTATGCCATCCTGTGTGTAATATACATTAACATGCCTAATTTGTGTATGATATGCGGAAAACATAGGCAGTAACTAGGCTCTTCTTGTCTACAAAGCTGACTTGTTTGTCTTACCAATTAAATTATTGCTTTCAATTAGTGATCACGTTTGTAAAATAATATCCTAAATGATAGAATCGAGTATCAATCTGTATTCTACTGTTGTGCACTTGTAATGTCTGTATGCAACTGAATAAGCGATTACTATTGAAATTGAGTGCTTGCATTAACACGTGCTTGTATTCCAACCTGAACTAGTTGGGTTAATTCCTCCGCTGCAGAGTCCTGCACTGTGATTGCGTCATGCTGTAAGTAGAAGGCAGAGGGAGAATTAGACCCCACAGTTCTTTAAATAACTAGAGACTGTGTTTCTCATTGGTGTTATCAGATTGCCTTTGCAGTTATTATCTTTTGTTAATAAAATTGTGTGTTTTACATAAAACAATTCACTGAAACCAAAGATTCTTAGCTACATGGAGGGTCGGAGGGTAGTGCTGCTAATAAAATGATCTTTTGAACATTCTTCTGTTTCATGAAAATCACATTCAAGTGTGTGTAGTTTATGAGAAATGGGAAATGTTCACAGTCTTCTATCAACCGAGAAGTTCTTGGGGTCACTGAAAACACGTGCATGGGACGCGTAAAATGCTGGGAAGAACAACTTTTGCCTGAGAAGCCCCGCCCCCCGGCGCGGGAGTGCGCATGCGCGGGGAGGCATGACCCAGGCTTCTGCTGCCTGCCTGCCTGGCAAGCATAGGCGCTGCTGAGGGTTTGCAGAGCACCCCCTTCCTGCATCTCTTGCTTAATTTAACACTGGATGAATCGGATGTTCTTTGCAAACATCTGCTTAGAAAAAGCAGCTACGTTCCCTCCGCCTTGCCTAATAATGCTCTTCCTTCTACTGTCCTGTCATCTGCTTTAGATTCTCCGCGTTGGGGAGGACGTGTGATATTTGTTTTTCTGAGCCTGGATTATTTCGGTCAACATAGGGAAGAGGGAGAGCTCGTGCGAGGATAGGTCATGGGGAGTTAAACATAATCACAAAACGTTTCACACATGGAGCCCCAGAATGGGAAACTAGGGGGCACGTGGCCAAAGCAGGGAGGGCAGGGGCGTGACTGAAGGACGTCGTGTGCACGTGGAATCCGCCGGGGCGAGGCCCAGGCATCGGTGTGACCAACGGCACGGAGAAGAAACGCGGGGAAGCTAGGGAGGCAGTGCAGTCCTCTTTAGTACAACGCTGGTGTGTTGGAAATCAGCGACTTCTTCACTGTGATTGAAATTCCGATGGACTGCCGTGGCAGAGTGCTGACCTTCTGAATGAATTCAGGAAGAAAGTTTTCAGAAAATACGGAATGTAGTGCAGAGATGCATTTTCAGACAATGTAGTTTTAAAAGTTTGGGTTCTTTTTCCCCTTGGAAGATAAATGACTAATGAACGAGAGTGGGAATTAAGAAAGTAAACAGAATATTTATCACTTAATTCTGCTGCTGCAATTGACGAACACTTTCGCTCACTGCCCGTTCACAAACACACGTAGGGAGAGAGGGGAAGAAGAGGAGGAGGGGGAAGGTGTGGACGAGGAGGACCACAGCTAGGGGCTGCGGCACCATAGCCTTGATAAGAAAGGAAAAAGGCAAGAAACTACAAAGGCAAGTGGCATGGAAGGAAATTCTTTTTACTTAATAAATAAGTAGGTAAGCACGGAAGTTCGAGTGCTTTTGCATGGGAAAAAATTCCAGCGGAATTTTCTGTACACTGACGCTACCACGTGCCAGAAAAGCAGAGAGACACTTTGGGTAATGTTCAGGACAAACCCGTGCTGCGCTGCAAAATGGGCCAAGAGGCTGAGCACCTTGCTCAGGACCGCAGCTATCAAGAGCTGCAGCTGGAATCCAGAGCGTCCGTCTCTGTCACCAAATCTTAACCACTGAGACCTGAGCTTTCCAGATCCTAAGGCTGCAGCAGGCCTCTGACGGGGTTAAAACACTGGGACTGTAGCAGGAAGCACATGTTTAGTGTCTGCTCTTTCTGCTGCTCCTGTGTGGGAGAGAGGGCTTATCTACCAATGTGAATGTGTGTGTGTTAAATGTGGGCGTCTTCATCGCTTTCCCTAGCCCTAACATTTCTCCATAGCTGAGGGAACCTAAATACATGTACAAAGGACACATGTAAAAAAAAGTTAAGATATGGTTTAAAGTACTCTTGGGGAATAACTTAATTAGTTTTCTCACCTTTATTTTCCATGGTCATTTTTGTACTTATTATGGTGCCTTGCTCCCACCATAGCATAAGCTTACTATGTTCAGGGGCTGCACATTACCAAGTTTGCTTTTTTTCAGTACCAGGAATCGAACTCACGACCTTGTGCTTGCCAGGCAGGCGCTGTGCTGCTGAGTTACGTCCCCAGCCCCTCCAAGTTTTATACTTTGCAGTTTAATGTGTCACACACCCTGAGCACAAAATAAATATTGGCTGAATTCAGTGAAGTCACTGGGAATGCAGGGATTGTGCCTCTCTGTCCGTTGTGCAAGAGTCTGGGGTTGGCATGAGGAGAGCTCTGGCCTGCGCACGAGGCCCAGCCAGGTGAGCACTCGCACTGCCTTCCTCCCCGTGGCCCACGCTGGAGAGGAGCAGCCAGCTCCAGTAGAAGTTCTCAGGAGACCTCCTGGGCCAGAGACACCTTGGAGATTAGAAAATGCCAAGATATTTTAGAACAATAATGGACTATCGTTTAGAGAGAAGAGACAGACTTTGGAGGGCAATTCATCCCATCCAGTGCAGCAGAGAGAAAAGACAGAAATACAGATGGCTGGCTTGGAAAACCATCCGTTAACACGCTTCCAGTCCCGGGAGGGAAGCGTCTCCTGAACTGGCGGCTCAGAGGGGAAGTGCGAAATCTCTCACTTTCACTGCACGTTCCTGTGAGGGCCATTACTGCACAGATTAATATCTCGAGTGTGCTTCTTAACCTGGACCTCTCCAGGACATCAGAGCAAGGAAACAGCACGTTGTCCTGTGATGCCAAAGACTGCTAATAACGAGGAAAAGCCAGCTCCAGACCTTATTAGTCCAGTCTTGTCTGTTGGCAAGCCTCAGACCTCAGCATGCGGAAACTCAGACCATCTCACCTTGCTTTCATTTCCAAGTCAAGCAGGGTTTACGTGGAAGCCCTCTGGCATCGTGCTGCATCGTAGGGTCCTCTATCTGTACTGAGAGTTAAAACAAGACAGGTCTTTAAATTGATTGGACTGCCAGAATTGGAGCATGTGTGTGTGTGTGTGTGTGTGTGTGTGTGTGTGTGTATGTAAGAGAGAGACAGCGAAAAGACACCCTGGGAGGCTCTCCTGGTTCCTGTGTATGGACACTCCATATGTCTGCTGCACAAATAGCCCCATATATGGTCAGTGCACTTCATTATCAAAATGATGTCAACAAACTCAAAAGCATACAGAACAGAAGCAATACTCATACAGGGACTGAAAGGGTTAATCCATGAGAAAGAAAAAGAATCCTAGACAATAAAGAATTACATTTTGGGGAATTCGGAATAGGGTTGTTGATGGAAGAATTCAGAGAAAAGTATCTGGAAACCAATACTATACAAACTTAGGAGAAAGTGACAAGAAATGAATATTTAAAAACTCATTTAGTTAGATGAAATAAGGGAACATCTCATTTGATACTCTGAATCATAAAGCAGTAAATAAAACCAGGAAGATCTATTACAGAACATCAGTTAAAGTTAAAATGAATACATGTTAATATGTTTACACTGCAAAAAGCCAGTTCAAAAATAAGCATGTGGAAAATGCTATCATGGAAATCCTAGCACATGTTGGAAAGTGAATATTATCAGGAGTTGGCACCTCAGCATGGGGTATGGGGGGAGCTCTGTGCTAAAATAGTGCTCCGGGTCACCCTGGACTCTGGGGGCAATCAGCACCCCTTCCCCGTTCTACTCTCCCGGCTCCATACTTTATTATAGTGAGTAATTATTTGACAGTTTGACCCCTGGGAACAAAGTAAATATCACTTGGGGCTTGATATTGGCTGACACTGGGAAACAAAGAAGAGCCCTATTTACCTATTGAAGGGCCATGCCAGCCTAGCACACATGTTTATATTTAACGAAAGTTTATGGTGCATTGCAATAATTTATCATAATTTTTCTATAAAGAGCTTTACTTTTTCCACCCTTTCAAACTCTTTCCTGCAGGGCGAGTCAGGTACAAACTTGCTTTTGCTGGCCAAGCTCCCTTTGCTTCTAATGGTGGCGTGACTGGTGACCAATTTTCTAACAGCAGGTAGGAAAGCGCTTTTATGTGAGACTATGGCAAAACCAGGGATTCTGTTTGCTACTAAGTGCCTTGGACATGATGATAATTGTATTAGATGTTATGTGTTTTCTCTGTAAGGCATTAGACTAGCAACTTGGAAAGGTGTGTGTGGGAAGGGTGTTGCTATATTTCTTAAAAGATGGGGGATACAAGCAGAAGATTCAAGGGGTCATGTTATAATGTACAGTCTGTACTATTGGGACTTTGGAGAATTTCGGGTATTTTGATACACCTATGAGAATCAAAACTTCCCACATGATGCAAATTAAGGGAGTGTGACAAAGAAGACAAAACATGTATTTTGTGCTTAAAGCTAAGAAACTTCCTAGCAATTTTCTCAAGTAATAAATAAATTTTTGATTTACAAGAAGTATAATAAACATAAGGTTACCTGATTAATAGCAAATGTTCTCCTTATACAAAAATGCTTATATTTTGAAATAACCCTTTTCAGATTACTCATTTTTAGCAGAAACCAAAGTAGAATTCATGTGTCACAATGTTTTCCAGAAAACAGTTTCCTAGGAAATGCTTTTATTCCCTGGAAAAGCTGGGTCATCTTTGGCACCATCTTTGTGGAGAGCGTGCTAAGGGAGATTTTCGCAGCAGTTGATTTTCACCGGAAGTGGTGTTGTCTTTTTTAATAAAGTTCTCCTTTTCCTAGTTTCCTTTCCACCGTGCTGATGTTTCCAGAATAAAACCCTCTCCTGTCCACCTCGGGCTCCTGAGGACCCCCAGTCTGCCTCCCGCTAACCTCCCAGGTGCCCGTTTTCTTCCTTTCCTGTGGTGAGTACATAAATTACCCTCTGCGAGGGCGAGGCCCTTCTAAGAGGGCAAGTGGGAAGGTTATTCACAGGTTCCTCTTCCTTTCACGAGATACGGGGAGAGCGAACTTTATTTTCTCTGTGCTCAGCTAAGGACGAGTGACGGTAGTAAGTAGTAGTAAAAGAAAAAATTGAGAATCACTTCTTCCAACACAATTCTTCAAAAAGTAGAGTGATAGATGATCGTGTGGACAGCACGTCTGACTTTGTCAACAGTGAGCCTCCCCGTCCCGAAGCAAGTGGGCTCCAAAGGAAGCCAGGCCGTGGGGGTGAGCGGCCCCGCTGGACTCTTGGACAAGGCGGGTCGGGGGCACGGGGTGTGGCTGTACCCCGCCCTGCCCTCACCGTGCTCCAGCACCCGCGCCCCGCCC